AAAAAAAAAAAAAGAAGAGTATGCCATAAAGACCAGATTTTAAATATGTTAATTGTGCATGCTGATGCTAGTCAATTAGAATTAAGATGACATCCAGTACAAGGGTGACAGTTAATTGGTGAGAGCGGGTAACAGTTAATATTGTTTGTATCAATATTAGTTTGCCAATTTGTAATTGAGCATTGAGACTTAGATGTAAATGTACAAATTTTGTCTAAAATAATTTAATTCTTATTAAAGGTAATTAATAATAGTTTAAATCTTTTTAGAATATTGTATGTGTTGTAAGTGAAGGGATTAGTTCTCTGTTGTTGGTATTGTGTAAGCAGAGTTCGATAGAATTTATCTTCAATAACTTTATCTTCAAGTATAGTAAACTATAAAGGCTTTTTACTCTTAGGTAAGAACTGTAACCTAGATAAGAGGTGTTGCCATTCTAAAAAACAGATATTGTCTGATATATAAAGTTGTTTTAAATAAAGTATTTGCAAATTTCTAAGCTGTTTTTTGAAGATTGTTTAGTTAGGATGATTTTTAAGGATTTTTTCTAACAGTTATAAGCCATGTGAAATAGTATTAGTCTATAGGGCATCAGAATTTGCTATAATATAAATTTCAAGTGGTGAGAGTAACTAAATAATCTTAAAGTTCAGTATATATCTAATGACACCATTAACTATAGGTTGAAAGTGTTGAAGTATATTCATAGTTAACTAAATATTGTTTTATAATTGTTGAAGTCTTATATGTGTAGTAATTCCTAATAAGTGAGGGTTGTTAATGCATTGATAAAAGTTGAAAATATGATGCTAAAGTTGTATATCCCAGATATTACGAATATTGTAAAGATATGGATTAAGCATAATACTATTAGGAATTGATCTTGATAAATGAAATTTGTGTTTAGCTATAGTTAGGTATTTAGCTAGTATGTTATTGCATATTGTGAATAGTAATATAATATTATAGATTCTGTATTCAAGTGTAGAAATAATTACTGTATTAATAATATAAGTAATTTGTTTGTCTGTAATTTTTTTGTACTGGTTGCATAGGTAAGTTGTAGTATCTCATTTTGAATTAGTTTGATTTGATTATTATATCTATTGTAAAGTATAAACCAGCATCCAAGATAATTGAATAGTTGGTTAATTAGAATTGAGTTTAGTGTAAAGTTAAGAAAGGATATAAAGGTTGGTTTAGAGTTTGCAGCAAAGATAGATTTAGATAGATTAATTTGAAGGTTTGCTATATGATAGAAGAATGTGGCTGTTTAAATTATTAATTTAAGTTTCTCTTTTGAGTGTGCTATCCAAAGTGTATCATCCATATAAGCTAGTACTAATACTGAGGCTTTTAAGAATTGTACTTTGTATGTATTAGGTGGGTTTTTTAGGAAGTAGATAAAGTTAGTATAAGAGGATGATTTTTTGTAGTTATTATTTAGATAGAGCCAAGTTGCATTTCAATCAATTTGTGCTACTAAAGGAATAATATTTTCCATTCGGTGTTGAGAAGACCACATTGCTATAATGTAGCTGTTACAGATGTTCTTAATAGATTTGCGAATTGGTTGTTCAAATGCATAGGTTTTGTATTGTAGATAGTATGATGGGTTGTAGATATTACTGTGTAGAAATTCAAGGTCAGTTGTATGATTTCGACTTTTAGCTAGGCTATCAGCTGTGTCATTGAATATGTTGTTACTATGTGCTGTGATTTTCTGAAGTTTGATTGTTAAGTTGTAGGATTTAGTAAGATTTAGTACTGTGTGCCAGATTGGCCAATAATTATATGAGTATTGTTTGTTTGGTCCAGATGGATTTGGGTGATTTGTCTAATTTAGATATTATAGATTGTGAGTCAGTATAAATAATGATACTGCTGTTTCTTGAACATGTACAGATTGCTAAAAGAATTGCAAGTAATTCGGCCTTGTAGGAAGAAGGCCAGAGTTGGATTGTAGCAGAATAGTTGTGTAATATTGTGTTATCAGCTGTTTGAACCCAGCCGATGCCCATTGTATATCATTCTGTAGTAATGTCATTAACTGATCCATCTGTATAAAATGTTAATTGTGTGTATATTGTGTTGTTTATTGCAATTTGTTGTAAGATTTGTGAGGATTGGTTGTTTTTGAAAATATCAAGTACTGCATTGTTGTGAATTGTGACTATTAGTGGTCTTGGTATTGTAGTTGGGTGTCGTAGAGCAATTAAGTATATGGAGTCCAGTATGTTGGCATACAGGTTAAGTTTATTAGAAGTGTTGTTATTTATTTTTCTGTATAGGAGTTTGTTGGATAGATTGGCTGAAATATTAAGTGTACATGTATTTTGAATTCGGTTGGAGTTTAGTGAACATCCTATACATGGCTTACAGGTGTATGTAGGTGGTGGATAAAGGTTAGTATATGAGTAGTCGAATTCGATCTGCTAGTGTGTAATTGATATTGAGTTGTTGTGGTGGTTGTATCTTCTGGCTTTCCCTAAAATAATATTATTGTTATTATTGTAAGAGATTAACCAAGGTTTAGGTTTGGTTTTGTAATATCTGGTATTAAAAGATAAAGTGTTTATGCTTGGTAGTTGAAGTTGAGTATTGATTAATCTAATTTGTTGATCTGTAATAATATTATTTTCTAGTACTGTAAACCATAATGGTTTCTGACCTTTGGGTATATGTTGTAGCCAAGGTGAGATGTGTAACTAGCAAGTAAAACTGTATTATCATATGATGTAAGTTGTTCAAGATATATAATATTTTTTGTACATAGTTGTTTCTTGAAAGACAGATATAATTTGTGTGAGTTTAGAGTTTTTTTAATAGGTGTGTAAGGATATTGAAGTGTATATATTTGTGTAAAGTTTGAATGTATGTTTAAATTAAGTTGGAGTTGGTTTAGTAGTAGTATTATTTTGTAGGTGGTGGTATTCTTATTTGGTTCATCAATTAGAGGTTGTAGATGTTAAAGAATATTAGTAGTTGACCATAGGTTGTTATACAGTTGTTGGAGTCTTATATGTGTGCTAGTTCTCATAAGGTTTTGGTCATTAATTCTAAATAAGAAGTTGGAGATGTGATGTTGTAATTGTATATCCCAAATATTTTTAATTCTGTAAATATTGTGGTTAAGTATAATACTATTAGGTGTTATGATGAATGGACAGCACACCATCCATACAACAACACAATCTTTGATCAAGACTGGAAAACAGAATATCAACCCAAGCCAGAAATACTAACAGAATGGTATGACCTAATACTGGAAGAAATTAGTATAGATGAAGTTATACAAACAATCAGACAATTACCTAATAACAAAGCATGTGGACCAT